TGGAGAATTGCCCGAGCGCGGGCAGGTTCCGCGGGGGCGTGACCCAGGCAGGGCGGTGCGCCAGGTGGGGGGCGCAAGCTGGGTCTCCTCACCTAACTGTGCTGAGATGGTTTTCAGGGTGGCCAAAGAGCTGCTAGGCTGTGGGCTTCGCGCCTCTGGTTCCTTCTTCCCCGGGCAGGTGCGGGCACGTTGAGCTAGGTGGACTGGAGTTAGACCGGGCTGGGAAGGCAGGTGCGTGGGTAGACTGAGATAACAGGCCAGGCTGGCGGCTGGGCGCTGACCTCTGGCTACAGGTCCCTACCCTAGGGCAGTCCCTGCCAGGTGACAGGTCTGGGAGATGTCACGGAGGTTGAGGCTAGAAAGGGCTGCAGGACTCTGGCGCGCTCTCTGCTGCCCCTCTCCTAACCCCCTTGCTCTCATGCACTTCAAGGGCACCTGGGGGGAGGTGAGTGCAACTCAGTTCCCTTTGTCTCATCTATTGAGCGTCCCGCCCCGCCACCCCCTCCTGCGCCAGGTGTCTCTGCTCAGCCGCCGCCTCCCAGCCCAGCTGCTCTGGGCTTCCGGAGAGCAAATAAACAGAGTCCGGGGTAGGGCTGCTCCCACACCACGAGAACCTTGTTGGAGTGGGCTGTGCTCAGGGAGGGCAGAACCCAGGGATGGGGACCTGCGGGCATCACAGGGCTGCAGAGGCGACTCCAGAACGAGTGGCAGACTGCCTAAACCCTGCTTCCCACCAGTGTGTGTAGGATAAGCATTTACTGAACCCTTGTGAGCCCGGCAGGCGCGCTAGACTCTTGGAGATGGAACAGTCTACAGGACAGAGGTTCCTGCCTTCAGGGAGCTTGTCTGCTGTAGGCAGCTAGCATACTCTGCCTCCTGCTGGGGCCAGGGGAGCCAGCCAGCCCCAAGTTGCACCCCACGTGGGCTCAGGGTTGGCTGAGGCTGCCCAGTGAAGACTTGTATCCTTGATGGCCCTGCTTTTGCAGGCGTGCACTGTCTGTGGCAAACTTGAATGGCACCACAGGGAGCATGGTCCCTGTGGCCCTGTGGAAGTGTTTGCTCACAGCTCATCAGAGTTCTAGCTGGCAAGAGGCAAGGGCTGTGAGATTAGATTCAAATTCTGAAGACAGTGAGTGATTTCTAGGGACTGGACACTGCGCTAAATGTTTCACTTATATTATCTCATGCAGTCCTCACAACAAACCTGGGATGTTGTGATTTTCCTCATCCATCACGTTAAGGATGAGGAAACTGAAGCTCAGAGAAGTTAAGCAACTTCCTCACAGTCACACAGCTAGAAAGTGGCAGAGCTGGGAATAGAGCCCACCTCTGTTTGACCAGAGCCTTACCACTCTGTTCTGCTGGGTGTCATATATTGAAAACAACACCAGATAGTTACAGGCCCATCTATATGCTGTCTATTCTTTTATGTGAAATTTTATGTGAAGGGTTTGCAAACCTCTAGTGTCATGAAAAGAATATGAAGCCGTAATGCTGGAAATTATATACTATTGGACAAGTTGATTGACTTTCCTGAGCCTGTTTCTACCTCTTGGGATAATGTGCCTTACTTGGGAACCTCCTAATGCTGAGCTTTCTAGAGAAGTGCCCACACTGGACCTTCTCCAGTAAACACTGTGCCAGTCCCACTATGGGTATTGCTGTGCTGGGGGATTTGGCCTCTTGGCAGCAGGGGTCCGAGTGCTTCTGTTTTTGGACATAGTAGGTGTGGGATCCTCCTAAGTGGAGCTGGTCCTCCCTCCCAGTTCAGGCCAGCTCCTTCGAGATAAGACAGCCATGGGACCCCTTCTGCACAGGAGCTATTGTGGAATCTTGGCAACCTCAAGGATCACCCAATCCAGCCCACTTGAGTTACAGGTAGAAGATCTGAGAAGCAGAGATCGGATTACCAGCGAATCATTGGAGGGAGTGGGACTAGAACCCAAGTCCCCAGCCCAAGTTCAAGCTCTTCCCCTCTCCAGGTTATGACTCCAAATGGGGCTGTGACCCAGAAAACTCTATGCCAGCCATCTCTGCCTGCCTGTTTCTTTGCTGTTGCCTAGTTTCCATGGGGCTCAGGTGTCTCCTGTTGGCTGATAGGCTGGCCTTGGCCCTTGGCCGCCAAGGGCCCTGCTTATCCTGGCACTCTAGGCCTGGGATGATGCAGACAGACTTCCTCAGCCTCCCCTTCCTCTGCCTGGAAGCACTCAGTCCCTTGTGTGATCTCTAGGGCTTGGTCTGAGCTGCGTGTGTGTGTCTGTTTGTGTGCGCTCGCACATGGGCCAAATTGGGAGGCAGAGGTGAGGAATGCCAGGGCCACCTCTTGTTTCTGTCCAAGCCTTTCTCAGGGTCTCTGCCTGGGCCAGCCCTGGAGAGGTGGGGAACTGGTCAGGAGGCGGGGCCTTCTGCTGGCAGGCGCCGCAGTGGACAGCTGTGCTGTGTCGGTGCCTCTAGCCTCGCTCTGTACAGTGTCAGGGCCTGGAGCCAGACAGCCCCATTATTTAGTTGCTGGGACTGCTGGGAGGTGGGGAGGCTAGACTGGGGGAGTGTGGGCTGAAGGGAGAGATACAGGGTGCCTAGGGCTCACTGGCCCTGTGCCCCTTAAAGTCAGGCCCAGGATTAAGATGGAATTGGGAGCAGAGCCCAGTAGTGTGGGGCCGGCTGGCAGTAACATCCCTGCAGGGCCCTGAGGTGGCACGTCGAGCAGCAGGTGCTAGCTGGGACACACCCATGCGCCCACATGGCCTCGGGGAGGGAGGCTATGTCTTCTCCTCTACCAGACCTCAAGGTCCCCTCTCTCTGTGCCCTGCATTCTTTCTGCTCTTTGTTTCCATCTTTGCTCCTGGCCTCCCTGCCTCTGTGCTCAGCCAGCCTGCCTGTGCCCCGTCCTTTCCCCATACCTCCCTGCCTTTGTCTCCTGCCCATCTGCCTTCCTGGTGGCTTTGCTGTTACCTGCCTGGCTGACTCTCTATCCCTTTGGTCTTTATCTCCTTCCCCCTTGTGTCTGTCTCTCTTCCTTCCTTACTTCGGCATCTCCGAGCCTTCCTTCTTGCCTCTTTCCCTCTCTCTTGGTGTCCCCTGCCCCTCTGGGCCTCTTTCTCAAAGGCTCTGTCTGGCTCCCCATACCTCCAACTGTCCTGGCCTGGCTCCATGTCCCCATGTCCCCGGGAGCCTGTGCGTGGGTGGGGATGGGGGTGTCTCTGGAGAAGAGTCTATTGGCTTCTCCACTCCAGCTGCAGACTGGTTGCCATGGTAACAGGGTCAGAGGGCCCCCACTGCAACAGCTGACGGCTGCGACTGGGGGGAGGGGTGGGGACCTGCCATCCAGGCCTGTTCCTCAGTGCTATGCCCCCAGGGCCCCAGAGGTGGCCCCACACCCCCTGGGCTACTGTCCTGGTCCTCAGATCTAGCCTCCCAGGTGCTCTTGTAGGCACTGCTGGTACCAGCCTCACCCCTCTGGGCCTCCCACCCTCTTCCACCCAGGTGTCTCTCCCGGCTTCTTCCTCACCTTCCCCATCTCTCCCTGGTCCCTTAAATCAGTCACCCTGCTGCCATACTTTTCCTTTTCCTTCATGGCTAACCTCTCCCTAGCTCAGACAGTCACTCCCCCGTACTCTTAGGGTCCCCATCAGTATGGGCTGGTGATAGAAACAGCTTTTCCTGAAAGTGGGAAGCCTTGAAGTTGGGAAGGCAGATGGGACAGAGGTTGGTGTCTGGGTGGATTTTGTCTCCATGAGATGGGAAGCAGAACAGGGTAATCCCAGGAGGAACCGAGCTTAAGCACGGGCACACTTTTCTTGTGGGGCTGAAGTGCTCCCTTCATCTCAGAGCCAGGGGTGTCCCTATCCTTCTGGTCAGAGCCTGGTGAGATCATCTGTGGCGCTGCCAGGTGCAGGTGCAGGGGTCCAAGGGCCCATCAGGGGCCCTGCCTCTGAACCAGCTGCCTCCCTCACGCAGCACTTTCTCTTCTCCAGCTAGATCAGAGGCCTGCAGGAGGCTTGGAGGGGCTGGGGGTTGGGTTATTCTTGAGCCAGACACAGCTGCCCTGGTCTGCTGGTGGGGGAAACTTCCCAACCCAGACCCACCCCAGGGGTGAGGCAGGCATGATACGATTGAAGGGTGCTGTCTACTCCTCAGCCTACCCTGGGGTCTGGAGAGTGTCGGGAGGGTGGCTCCTTGGTGTTGTGTCTTCTGTAGCCCCCAGAGAGGAGCTATGTAAATATTTGTGCAGAGCTGTCTGGGATGGGAGCAGTTTGATGGTGGCCTTGGGCTTGAGTGGGGGGGGGCATGGGGCAGCAGAAGGGTGTGAGATGGGGTGAGACTGAGCTTCTTTTCTGCCCAGAGGTGGCTTCCTGTGTGTGCGTGCGTGTGTGTGTGTGTGTCTGTGTGTGTGTGTGGTGTGATTTGAAAGATTCCAAGAAAGCCCTTAATGCCCAAACATTTTCCCTGAGGGTTCCTGAAGTGCCCCCTTAGAGAACTTCTCACTTGGGTTGAGAATGATCCTTTTTCTTGAAAAACACTCATTGTGCCCCTCTCAGTGTACTGTATACTGGCAGAAAGTATTTAGTCCTTTGGTGTGAGGGAGTTTAACAGAACTTTTCTCCCTGATGTGGGGAGGACATGGGAATCAGGGCCTGAAGAGGAGGGGTGGAGGGACACTGGGGCAGCAAGGAGTGTGGGAGGGTCTCTGGTAAGCTGCTCTTCCCCCTCTGTGTGAACTGTGCTTGGCCTCAGATGAACCCCTTTCTTTTTTGTCACTTGTATACCAGACTAGAAGCACCTTAAGGGCCAGTCAGCATCTTCCTCTTGGTTCACTGTCTCCTTTGGTCACAATGCTGGATGAGGTTGCCATGGCCATCTTCCCTCATTAGGTCATAAGCTGCACGAGGGCAGAGGCGATCTGTCTGCTTTGTTCTCTGTTGTGCCTATGTGCTTAGTGCACACTGGAAGCTCAGCACTTGTTTG